CAGGTGTTCAGCGGCACTAGATTTTTCTAGTCTCTGAAATCGGATATGTAGTTCATGTTCTTTGAAACGAGTTTTAATGCCTCGCTTGTCTGACCAAAATATTTTTGACACAGTCTCAACTTATTTCATATATCTTGACTTTTCAGCTTTCAATGTGTTTTCTTCAGGGTAACATGATATTTGTTAAAGCAAGCAGTTCTGAAGGCTACTCTCACGTTCAACTTCTCAATAATCTAATTTGCTAGTGTATTTTTCAGTACACACCGAAGGACAATAAACTTTGAATCCAGGTCTTTCTGAAAAGCCGTTGATTTACGAAGATTCTCTTTGAATTTACGTTTCCCTTTTCTCCCATCTACTATATTTGAAGAATACTTGTTACTTTCAGCTGTGCTCCTGGTAACTTTTTCCCAATATCGTACCTTTCTTTACTCAAAGGGAACCTAACAAACCTATAGACAAGAAAGTTCAGAACTGCAATTTTGTGTTACGGACAATGGTGTTTAAAAATACATTTTTCTGGTATATATGATTCATCAAATATATAGAATGCTTGGATATTTCTGTAGGAATTTTCTGGAGAGATTAGGCTGTTACTGAGCCCACGCCAGAAGTTTTTGTACATTACAAAATACATAAAAATATCAACATTTTCTTCGCCTTTTTTTCAGAAACAAGGCAAAATTCTGTTTGGTTAAAAAAATTGACAGTCAACATATATTTTCTGCAAAATTCTGACCTGAGTTTATTGAATACTTATTTAGCTCATTACATATTACATTCGGATCAGCTAACCGTTTGCAGATAATTATATACATTTATGAGGTCTCTGAGGTTCCATTAGAGCAATATCAAAGTCTTTCATAACGTTTGTAGTGATCGCCATATCCCTCTTACTATATTGTTAGGTTGTTTCTGATACCCTCAACTTTGATATTTCCATCCATTCACTTTTATTTACCGACATTTATTTATCATTCAAATAGCTATACACAATGCTAATGAGAAGAGTATATTATGACGGGGAACGTAAGGTCTTGATGATACCAATGTTGACAGAAAAAAAGAAAGAAAATACAGGTTATCATGACTCTTTTAACTGCGATTTCAATGAAACCGATGATGTATTCTAACTATTGAAGAACTCTTCATTTCTTCAAATGAACTCTTGAAAGTGAAAACCTGCTACACAAGAATGAGTTAGTGGCCATGGGTGCTGAAAACAAATACTCATTGGTGAGGCTGACTTCATTGCTAATTTCGACAATTGATCTACTGGCTATCCTTCAAATTATACAACGATTGCAAACAATAAAAAAGTGTTGATATTTCAGAATACTGTAACGTTTGTTTATTTTTATTCAAAAAAATGTATTATGGAAATAGTTGGTAAAATGAGATTTGATGTAATCGATATGGATTCATCTCAATTTTTGAATCCCAAATAACAAATGAGAAGCAAGTATGAAAATCTAATATTTACAAATTTCTTCCATGTGTGTTTTTGATTATTGTCCTAGAGGGGATACAACTGGTATATCTGTGGTAACTCTAAAATTATATATTAAAGCAGATTATATCAAAATAATAATTCAATTCAAATGTAAATGAAACATATGAGCCAGGCTATAAGTGATAGGTTCATATTGTAAATTTATTGAAAACCTGATTACAAAAAAAACATTAGGAAATGAATGAAGACACAAGATGGATGATCTGAAAAATTGCCCAAAAAGAATTCAAATTCAACGGCTTATCATCTGGTGTGAATCTGCTATATATTCGTTAATCGAGTCAACTTTTCGAGAAGGAATTAGAACTACTTTGTGATAGTTGATAATTTCTCAGTATATAGGGCTGCTTTTTGTGAGTGCGATATCGATATTATTTTCGTGAGACTGCAATGTTTATATCTCTAACTTTTTATACCATCTGATAAAATGGAAAGTCTTCACCTGGTATTTCAATTTTGAGGAAAATCAACAATTATGCTCAGACACGACAATTTATTTTTTGATGGAAAACTGTTTTCTGCACATACTCAACCCTGCCACTTTCAACCTCTAACAGACACGCAACCCCTAAATCTGCAAAACTATTTGAATACATTGGCTTAAATAGTCATGCCTCTTGTCGAGACAAAACAAAAAAAAATGGTTCTCTTGTCTCGACTGAGTCGAGAGAATTTTTTTTCTCGTCATGACAAGAATACTGTTTATTTTCGATAATAGAAGGCATTCTCTTATCTCTCTTTGTCTTGTCTCGCCTTGTCTTGTTTCGCCTTTTCTCAACTTCAGTTTCAAACCTCAATGACGAAACCAGCTCTACGCAAAAGTCAATTTGGTATATCAGTGAAGATACTATACTCATCATCAAACTCTTTGATTAGCAGTGATGTCGATTGTTCACTTCGAATTACTCTATTCTGATATATATAAGACACTATACAGTGTGTGTCAGATTGAGTTATCATTGAAAGTTTCAGATGAAGGAGAGAAGTTATCAAAAAATGTCTAGTGTAAAAGTTTTCAATACCAATGCTATGAGCTTTTTTAAAAATATTTCAATACGTAGGATACCCAGTTAAAGCGTAGCGGGTCAAAGTTATTTTTTTTAAAGAAATGATATTTGTTGCTTTCCATCAGTCAAAAAATTAATTTCAGGAAATAAATCAGCAGTTAACAAGTTATTTGAAAAAATATACTTATCAAATCATTGGTGTATTCATCTCTTGTCATTTTAAATGAAAATTCATCCAATGGATTTTTCTTGTTATTGAAATATTTTGAAAATGAAATTTTATAATCATCCAATGATCATTTTTTGAATTTTTATATTACATTCGACTTTTCCGTGGATTGTTCTCCCTGAAAAAATGGAGTTGCATTAGTATATACTGGGCGGTTCAAGTTATTCATCGTGGAAACTGACAAAACAAATTCCGAAAACAATTTTATTGTTCAAGTTATTCTTTCCCGAAGATATTTTGAAATACTATGTTTTTTCATTGTTGAATAGTAATTTCACTGAATTATTGGGGGTTTCAATATATTTCAATAAAAACGGTATGCTATTTCATGGATTCCACGTTGTGATTTTATAGAAAACCCGAATACGAAATATTTTCGTGCTATCAATCCCGAATAAACCTACTTAACGGTCTGAACTTTTTTGTATAATTATTTTCTCATCTGTTTAAATCTGTTTAAAATCTGTTCAAAATCTGTTTAAAATCTGTTCCGTTAATCAGCTGTCGCCCCCCATACGAACGACAACTCTCAGAAATTGAGAAACTTGTGCGAGCTAAGGACTAACGAGGTCTTACTTTTCAATGTGTGATTCCTAACACATTATTGAATACTCTCATGAGAGTATTTAATAATTTTCATGAATATTTATGTTCTATAACAGTCTTTTACGTTATCAAGATTGAGTATTTATGAAATTTCATTTTCGATGTTTCTGCTGAAAGGATTCAATGTTGAAAATAATATATAGTTTTTGAAACTATTTTTGTTATGGCCAAACAACCTCACATTTTTCAAAAGAGCCATTCAAAAAGAAATCACATTCTGAATAAAAAATTGAATGTTCAATTTGAAGAAAATGAGGCAAAACTGTGAAGTTTCGATTCACTTGCATTAGGAAAAAATATTGTCAAGTTATCATTTAATGATAAAAAAATCACATTTTAAAAATATCCCCAAAACAGACTATCGAAAAGAGTTTTCATTGAAAATGTGGACAGTTGATCACATCAACCTTTTAACTTCATTCGAGGCATGTCTTCTCAACTTCTTGGTACACACCCACAACAGAAAAAAAAATCCATAATGGATCACTCCTCAAGTTGGTACCATTATTTTCAACATGACACATGACACATACTGTCTCAAGTTGCCCTTCTTTCATATAATACTTTGACTGAACCACATCGCCTCAATCTAAAAAATGTATTTCGTTGGTTGTTAGCCTATTTTGTTTTATATAATTCAATTATTACAAATCATATATCATAAACAATTTTCCTGAATTTCATAACCTCAAAAAATTTTTTCAGAAAATTTTAATTTTCACAAAAACCTTTTCAATTAGATCACTTACTTTCAGGTGAACACTGATGATGACGAAACTTGAAAGCGTTTTGCCATAATTTTATAATTATACACTTTCATACAAAACCTCTTCGATTCATTCATTCAATGTGTGTATTCAGCTCCCCAATTCTATTCATTATAACATAGGCGACAAGCTGAGGCTGAAATCCATAATTGAGTTCATAAATATCATATTTTCAAATTTTTTAGTATCAGTTGACAAAAATTATACTAGTTTTTGTGAAATTGAAATTTTGGAACTATCGGTTTTCATTAATATTCAATAAATATCTATCATAAATTTGGCCTAAGTTATGTAAAATTGATAATAACTAATGATATTTTGAAAAAGTTGAAGTGAACATTTTGAATATTTGGAATAATAGTGTCAATCTCAAAAAATTAGGAAAATTTATCAACCATTTCTTTATATCCATGATAATAATTACACAATATTCACAAACATTTTTATTTCTAGATGCATATGTTTTCGAATCTCTGATTCAGCATCATATATTGTATAGTTTCAACGAATATATGTATATGTAATCAAACTTCAATATAGAAAAAGAGAGGAAGGCGATTCGCTCAAACATATATCCCTTCGACTTATTTGTGGCGAGCATACAATCAACGTGCCGCAAATTTTGCGAACAGATACCAATAAGAACTCAGTGAAACATTTTATAATGGTCGCTTTGAGTATGACGCATAGTGCAAAGAATAAAAATACCCCTTTTTCATTTCTCCCTGATCATTATTTTTAAGAAACCTTGAATGAACCTTTTTTCAATTTTCCTTACTTCAGGTGATTTATGTATAAAGTAAACTATAGAAAACTGAAGGATGGAATTAATTTTGAAATATCATCAAAAGGTGACGAGGAGAAAAAAAACATAGTTCATTATGAAAGTCTTTGTATTTTTCAGGATAGTGATCAAACTGCATTCTTATTAATTTTTTTAAATTTTGTAGACAAATGAATTGTATGTATTATTATCACAAAAAGTAAAAAACTTTTATTTACAAGTTATTTACAAAACTGCCAAATCATATTCACGAAGTTTGCTTTTTAAATACGAACTTTTTGTTCTGGTTCAGGATGTGCTGCAATCCATTCTAAAGCCCTAAGTATTGCTGGGGGAATTGGATGTGGTGTAGGCAAAATGTCTGATTGAGGTTGGTATCCATCCTTGTTAGCAATATAGGAAACCTGGACTTTTGAACCGTCCTCATTGGTGTATTCATACGATCCAGCAACTTCCATTTCTGCTTCTTCGGGATTGGGACCAGCTTTCACTTGACCCTTTTCTTGAGCACTGATACCGTTGCCAGTTTCAATGCTTGAAAATACAAAAACCAGAGTTAGTTTAATGAAATATAAATGAGTTTCTGATTGTATGTAAACTGAGAACTGACAAGTTTTCGACACGCATTCAGTCAATAATACAGTTCATCTTCTGATGACACCAACTCGATTAGAAAAATTATAGGCTTAGGAGCAGAGTTTCGAATAGGTTAATTTTATATCACGGGTTGTATCTTGGTAGAATTATTTGTATTGAATTCCTTATGAACAACCTAAGTTAACATTTATATATTCATATCTGAAATATTCCTCATAATTGAAATCCTTGAAAATAGAGAAAAATGAGGAATGCCAATTTCAAATTAATTTTTTTATATATTGTACAACTCGAAGGAAAATATCTGAATTGAATTTCATAAAAAAATCAAATTATTTTTACAAATTTTACAGAAAAAAGTGCCTGGTAGAAGAATATTTTTAAGGGTCACGCTTTTCAAGAATCCACCACAATACCTCTGTTGTTCAGAATACAATTCTGACCAAATTTGAAACGTTGGTGTATTTCCTTGTTTTTTTTGTAGGTGTGCTGTTTTGAGGAAATGAAGTATCATTTACGAAAGTCTATTGAAAAGTTAATGACAATTGTGTTTCAATTCATATTCAGCATCCTCAAAAACTATCATGTGCAAAATAATTTTGGAAGAGCTCAAAAACTTTTTCCATACTATTACTAAAACATATATCACATAAGCCACTGAAAAATGAAAATTATACATGTCATTTGATTTTCATTCATTGTTAGGAAGCGATGAATTTAACAACAAATTCAAAAAATAGCCATTGAAAACACAATTTTCAATATTGTTTTTTTCATTTGTTTTCGCGCTCTTTCAGAATCAATTCGCACGTAAGGATTTTTGGGAATGATAATTTTGTCTCTGGTCAGTTTGACAAAATTTTGCATATACCAGTTCAGAATAGTTGCTGATGCAGAATGCATTTCTTCAATATCAGAAATATACCTTGCAATGAATGTAGCATTTTACTTTTGACTTACTTCCATTGGTACGATCCATCAGGATTGACACCTTCGTTGTCGTATCTAAGGATTGGAATTGGTTCGGCAGTTGGTTGGCTAGCCGGAGCACAGGAGACTGCAGCAATAGCCAAGCTCAGAATGATCTACAGACACATCAAAATAGAAATACATAAACAATTATATTGATTATATTAATTTCACTAATGAACAATTTGTTCCTATATTAGTTGTTCCTATATTAATTTTTCATAATCCAAGCAGCAGGTTGGATTGTGAACCTATTGATCAAAGTATATGAGTCTGTCATAAATCCATTTGAAATTTGTTTATACAAGAATTATACGTATGAATGCATTATTGCTGTTCATTATTTGCAGTGAAATGAAATGGCAATTTCTACAGTCATCTCAATAATCGTAAAGAATATTACTGGAATTTTATCCCAACACCAAACCGTTATTTTCATCACATTGACAGGTGTTTCAACCACCAAGTGATCAATGAAGATTAATCTTATTCTTGAAGATGATCACTTCTTCAAGATGATCACTCGGTGATTGAAACACGTGTCGAGGTTTTGAAAATTACGGTTTGATGTTGGGATAAAACTCCAGTAACATTCATTACAACGCCAAAGGTTCCAAACAGTGCATCACAATTTAATAATCGTTGTCTGTTCAGAAAACTACGTCAGTTGTTACCAAAGTATTCATTGATATCATCGATATAAGACTTAGGTTAAAATATGTGATGGAATTGGTCGATATTTGCTGAAAATTCGTGACTTGTTTAGGTAATACTTTATACTAATATGAACAAGCCAGAAGAAGTTGTAAAGTAGGACACGTGTTGCGATTTTGTGAAGTGTTCAGTGAAAATCCCATGATAAAATGTTACTCCAATGTGTCCAATGAGTATAGTTGACAGTAGGAAAAATATTTTGAACCCATATGTGAAAAATTGAATAGTGAATTGATTATATTTCAAGATATAATATAAAGAGAGGTAAAAGGTCAAATGACTGTAGAGTTTATAGAGTTTATAATGATGCATTCATTATTTTCTATCAATTTTTCTGGAGACAAATATGACCAATAATATACTACCGTTTAGATGAAGAAAATCTCATCAAAAATATTTCTTTGAGTGATATTAGTTATGCACTTTATGGGAATTTTTTGAAAATCACAAATAAGGTCTGATATTTTGTGAATTTGAAATACACGTAAATTAACTTCTATCAAAGTGAATACTTACCAGTTTCATTTTATTGATTTTTAGTCCAAATCACTACTATGATGGTTTCAATAATGTTAAAGATATTTATATTATTCGTACCGATTACCCCCACCACCCGGACCATCCCAAAAATGTATTGTTAATCTATCGAATGATAATTATATACACGTATGAACTTTAACACGGATGATGAAATCCCCGCCGGGTATGAAGATGACAATTAGTGTCTGGTATTACGTGATAGGTGTTTGTCCGAATAATCGGAATGAATACGTAAAAAATGTATACCTGGGATAATCTTCAAAAACAACACGGACATAAATTTAAAGTGTGTTCAAATTCATCTAGGTAATACTTACGTGATAAAATTCCAAGTAGGTTTAAATCATTCGAGAATTTAGGAGGTGATTCTCTATTCAAGGATTTTTTGTACGATAAATCGGAATTTACTTGTATGGAATTTGAAAAATACTGTATAGTGCAAGTACTTTCATTATAATTGAGGCTTTCCGAAGTGAGTTCAGAACATAATTTATGTTCTCAAACCAACTGAGAAAATTCACCTACAAATAAAAAAAATCTTTTGAAATGACACATATTTCAAAATAATATATCGTGATCAAAGAAATTTCGGAAAAAATGTTATTATTTAGTTATCAGATATCCTTGAGATGTAGAAAATATACTTGTAAGAAATTATTTGTGAAAAAAAAGAGTTTGTTACTTTTTTTATGTAAGTTTAGTGTCTTTGAACTGGGATGAAATATAATGAAAAACTTTATAAAGTGTCAAAGAAGCAATATTTTTAGAGTAGAAATGATTATTTAGTGTTTGAACACAATATACTTAATTGTTTTCTATTGTGAAGATTGAGATATTTGAAAAAGTCTACAAACTAGATACTTTTCATATCAATCCATTTTAAATTATCTCTACATGGGACAGAGAGAAATTATCTAATTCACAACTACGAAAAGTTCTACTAACTAATCACATCCAAATCATCTGAAAATGTATTTTACTGAATGAACATTTTGATGTGAAACTTCAGACCAAATCATGAGTTACTCTACAAGACAAAGGTACAGGTAAATTTCAAAGTATATTAAATTCAACAGATTTCCAATATTTGCAAGAAAATTGAAAATAATAGTTTGATGTTGAAAAACATATTTCAAAATTCAAACAGGTTGATATGCGTTTACCAACATAATCCGAAATTTTTGTTTAATCCGCTTCTTTATAACTCACTGAATTTTCTAGTCTTATCAATCCCAGAAAATTATGCTGTGTTACCCTGAAAAAGTCATTTAATATTGAGGCCCACATTTAAGATATTTCAAATGGGAATAATAGTCGAATTCTTATTTGAGAGTTATTTCAATTCTATAACCATCGTAAACATTTCAACGATAAACAATGTCGAAAAAAAAAGAAAATACTTCAAGTTTGTATTTAATTTCAAACTGAAAAGTGAAACTGATCAGAAAAATATATTTCATTAAATGTTCGAACTGAGCATCATTAACTTCTATATAATGGTATTACCGAGCTTCTGTTCTGAAGAATATCAGGTGTTAGTAACCCACAGTACTTGGTAATTTTTTTTCGTACATTATCTTCAGTAGTTGGCACCGTCTTATAGAATTTTCAACCACTCCCATAGAAAAATTATCGCACTGGTACTAAGCAATGAGAAGGAGCCACAACTTGTTGAAAAACTACCTCATTTCGCAATAGAGGAGTGGATAACGTTGTTAATTCTCTGCATAACTGCACCATTTGGATTTGTTTCCAAAAAGAATGGTTCTATAATATTGTTACCAAAAAATTCTGCTCAAATATTCAGTTTTGGTGATATTGGTTGTGGATTTAGCGTGTCATTTTGGGAATTTAATCGGAAAATTTGACGACTCACTCACTCATTCCAATAAAAAGTACATTCATCTGGGAACATGTGGTGTATAATGAAGGTGGATTATGGTTGAATCTTTCCGAAAAGATCTAAACATTTCTTTTTATCGAAATCATATTCGTTCAATTCATGATTTTTTTTGTACGGGTGAAAACGTTTGTATGGCTGATTCCTGATGCTTGAGACAACTTAATCAAATACTACGCATTTTCTATCTAGGCAACGTGGTCTAGAACTGTACTATTCATATCTGCACAGTCATGTTTGGAATATATAACAAAAATTCTGTGAATTCAAAGATTTCGAGTTCAAAAGAGGATAGTCAGAAACATTTTGACAGTGAATATTGTTGGATTAATTTGGATGAATAATTTTAGTGAAATATTGGAAAGGCAGTCTACATTTTATTAGTGAGTATAATAGTACAAGAAAATCAGTCAATATTGCGAAAATGCTTGAAAGGTGAAGCAATATTTCCTAGAAATATTATTAATGTGAAATGTTGATGGATTCACACTAACCTTACAGAAACGTTTTGGTGAAGCAAAGCGAAGGGTACAGGGGAAGAAGGCGGTTAGTCATGAATTGGAAAATTTGCAGGAGAGCGCTTTCAAGTATTTGGGCTCGAATTTTGTGCTCAGTTATGCATTCTGCTACGAGCTTTTTTTAAGCATGATTCATTTTTGTTTTGTAATGGATTGCCTGCAAATAAAAAAGCTACTTGACGAAAGTTTTTTTTTATTAAAGTGTTTTTCATATTCGTGTAGGAATAAAAAAAGCAAGAAGGCGTTATGTCAATATAATATATTCTTGAGAATATAACGAAATGTTTGGAAACTGAAAATGCAATGATGAATAAAAACATAAAAGATCACCACTGAGAGTGTTGGAATATGTAGTTATAAGTCATATTAGTTTTTGTTTTCCTCGGAAGAGATTGGTGTCCTCCGGAATCCTGCTTTTTCGGCTTATTTGGTGGTAGTCGTGACTTTCCTTTCTTATCTACATGAGGCAGGCTGCCGTAATACTCAACAGCTGCAGCATTCTGGCAAAACTTTTTAAGACTTTGAAGGTTACTGTATTTCTCGGAGGATATTGGCAGAAGTTCTACAAAAAAAAGATATTTCACTAAAAATCATCATGATTGTGATCCTACATACCTTCACGTGCTACACTAGGTAATTCGAATTCATTTTCTATTCTGTTTGTTCTGCAATATTTCTTCCTTTTCTTTGGGTCAACCAAAACTACAGATTCCCATGCGCCAGACCACGAAGATCGGGAATACAGGAGTTGTGGGTCTTCTTTCAGAACTTTCATTTCTCTAATAGGCCGAGACGGAAAGGGGCATTTGGTTTTGTAAAATTCGTGGCAAAGTGGTCAGTCCATTTCTTGAATGATTGACGAGTAACTTCAACGATGTCAAATGGTGATTGCTTTGTCCTAGCTGATTTAAATGCTTCTGTCCATTCACTTGGAAGTTCGGCTCGGGATTTTTGGTTAATAAGGCCAAAGTCTTTGTCGCACTCCATGTACGAATGCCCCCTTATCGGAAATGACATTTTAATTGACTTCAAGTTTTTTTTGAACGACAACCAAATGATGAATATACCTAAACACCGTATAGTTTTTATTTTGTTCTCCACAAGAGTCACAAAATATGTTTAAGTGTCGAACTCTTTCATCCAGGAAGTTGTATACAAAATCGTGTAAGAAAGAACATACTTCGTCACTGCTCTTCCGTCCGATAGTTTCTGGGTACATGTCACAGAGGGTATATGGTCTGTGGTACATGTAGAATATACTCTGGCTGTTTGATGGACATTCCCCCTTCTTGCATAGTACCGCACGGACATCCCGCGTTATTGCCCGGTACTGAATATCTTTGAACGTTTATAACGCTCGACCTAACGAATTCTTTCCCAAAACGAATAGACCAATAAAAAGACTCAACCTTTGGCTACAAGATGGCATGAAAATACGGCGTTTCGATTTTTACTGACTAACCGCCTTCTTTCCCTGTGCCCTCAATAGTAATCACTCTAGTATATGAACTTATTATATTTTTTCAAAAAAGGGAAAAAATCTTCCAAAAAAGTTGAATTTCCAGATATGATAGTTTAAGTGAGGTGTGTGAATAATAAATAAAGAAAACCATTCGACGAATCTATAATATCGTGGTAGAAACATGTTTTAACATATTCATACTCCGATGGAAATGAAAAAGTAGAGGATTGTATTTTTTGTGACTTGAAACTCAACATTTGTCAGAATGTAGTTAGTTCATTTTCAGATGATGATGTTGAAAAATGATGGATTTTCAACAACAACAACTGCTCGAATTCTGAGCACGTAATTATGGAATAAGAAAATATTAGGTGAAATCATAAGGTGTTGAAGTACACACACAAAATTAAACCCAACTTGCATCACAGCAAAAGTGCATCGAAATGAAAAATGAAAGTGAATTCCAAAATAGTTTATGTCCAGTTAAGTAATTAATAAAAGTAGTGAATACATATATGCTTTACTTGAATCTGTTGGATGATGATATATCAAAATAGATTTGAATAGATCTTCAAATTTTCGTGATGAAACGTGACAAAGATATACAGGATAATTCCAAAATCGTTACATAACATATGCGGTATATGAAAGGTTTGTGTCTTCCTAAAGAAAGTTTTGCTATGCAGGAATTTTCCGGGAAACATTCAGATATCAATAATTTCAAAAATTTGATTATGCTGAACCAACTATTCCAATAGGATGGGATAACTGACCTCATTATGTTAGTAATGAAGAAATGAGTGGGCGATGGGATGGAACAGTTTTAAGTAAAACTTTACTGGGTTGGAGTTTACATGGGAACGTAAGTGAACATTCAGTAGCCGTTGAAGAAAAGTACTTTTCCTGTCCTATCTATAAAAATATGAAGAGCGATTAAATTTGCTCCATGATCTGTTCAAGGAAGAGGAAAAATCAGAAAACATAAATGTTAAAATTCAAAAGTCCTTCAATACTTTGACAAATCAACAGAAGGCCCAAAAAATTATGTAAAGCATAATGCATAATGCGATGATTTGAAAAAAATATATTTGGGATTGGTCTACTCTGGAAAAATAATATTATAACTCTTCTGGAGAATGGAACCAATGGTTCGTTAGCATTTTTTCAATTTGTTGTTGAAGCAATTGTTATATTTTGATGTTCT